TTTTTAGCTCTTTGCATTCGTATGCTGTTTTTTGAAAGCTGTGACAGAGCATCAACAGGAGGGGAATTGAAGAGAATAGAGCAAATAGTCAGACAAAGTGAACAATGGCAGCAATGAGGGCTCTTCAGAAATATGGCGAGAAAGAGTTGGCCGCAGTGGCGTGCGTGAGTGGACAGATGTGCTCTAATGTGTTTTGGCTGGAGATCAAGCGCATGGCTACACCCAGAGACGAGCTAAAACAAAGATAAAGATGTGGTAATTCTTCTGCAAGCATCATTCAGAGACACTAATAACTCCTGCTACAACAGGGTTATGAGAATATTTTGGACATAAAAGTGCCACATGTGTTAGCAGCATATTGTATGAGTGACTGGAGATTTTGAGGCTTTTACATACTCGTCACATTCTGTTTTTAAAGTGCGTATTGAGCTCGTCTGACACTTTGTGAAATGATACAGAAAAATCAGATGTTTGGTTTTTTTTTACTCGCCTAACTTTTTTATTTTTATTTTTGATCAAAAATAGAGTGAACTCTTCAACTGTCCAAAACAAGCACCGCAATGTGTTTGACAAAAGAATACAATTATTACAATTACAGTGTCTCTCTCATTAGCTCCAGTGTATTCCAGTGTAATTGATGTTGTAGCTGACACATCAGACATGAATATCCTCTGCCTCCTTTTGTTTGGGAGAGGGGGGCCTGATTTGCATTCTGTGTGCTTTTCGGGTGATGAAGACTTCACTCTATTAGTCCATTAGAGAGAAAGGCAGGGAGAGAGAGAGAGAGAGGGAGTTAGAGAGGGAAAGAGAAAGTAAGACCGAGAGAGCGAGAAAGAGAGGAGTGCCGCAATCTGCAACTCGCCGCTTGTTTGAGACTCTGACCCCCTTGGAAATGCCACTTTGCTTCACACATTAGCTGCTTACAAAGAAAGAAAGCTAATGTATCATCTAATTGGGTGAGCCACTGCATCTGATTCCTCTCAATCAGAGTATTAGTTCGGTAATTACCCATCTGCCTCGGGTGGAAAATGGCAAGGCGAACACCAAGCTAATAACATGCTCAAGGGCTCTCCAGAGCTGACAAGATGAGGCTGATGTTGTGCGATGCAGTCTCAAACTATTTCAGCACCAGGGTGAAAACATTACCTAGACCCAGTTTGCCAACTTTCACAAATTGAGTTTATTCAATTATTTACTTAAACACAGATTGTTCCATTTTTCTATTCCTTTTTTCCCTTCCATCATCCCCCCCCCACCCTCACTGCTATAAACCGTGGCCACGCTTATAAGTGTGTTCCGTCGGGGAAAAAAAGATCAGTTTTTCAAGTGCTTTTAGGATGGAAGAGAGGAAACAGCGAAATTATCTAATATTCCAACATTTGGCACCTTGTTTTTGCATCTCGCTTTCTTTTTTTGTGATGCCAAAAAGTGATTGAGGTAGTTAGTATCTTTAAATGCTGAGGATAAAGAAACACTGCATTAAACTTAACAAAGGATTAATTCAATTATTGAGGTAGTAAAGGTACTTCAGCATTCTTCTATGATGTTCATGTTTTTGTGTTTTCTGTTAAAGGGATAGTTCACCAAAAATTGAAAATGTTCATCATTTACTCTCATTTCAAACCTCTATTCCATATAAATAAAGCGAATGGTGACAAAAATGACAATAAAATACCATAACAGTAATCCATGTGACTTGAGCAGTATAATTTGAAGTTATATAACTTTGCAATTTTGCATGAGGTAAAACAAACATTTAAAGGATTAGTTCAACCCAAAAATTATGTCATCATTTGATTTAATCACCCTCACGTCGTTCCAAACCCGTAACATATTTGTTTATCTTCAGAACACAAATGAAGATCTTTTTGATTTAGAATCTGAGAGCTTTCTGTCCCTCGTCTGACAGTCCATGCAACAACCACTTTGACGCTTCAAAATGTTCATAAGGAGATCGTAAAATGAATCCATATGAATAGAGCGGTTTAGTCCAAATTTTCTGAAGAGACATGATCGCTTTACATGATGATCAGATTGAATTAGGGAGAAAGTCATATGGTTTGGAACGACTTAAGGATTGGCAGGATTTTTAAGTGAAAGCGTTAAAAAGATCTAATTTGAGGCAAATGCTAATTCAGCCTACTTTGTTACAGCAGTAATGCACAGCTTTTTTACAGTTAATGTAACTAATGTAAAAATGCTTTGATGCAAAAAAATTCACAGATGCCCTTCCCCCTCAACACACCCCTAAATCCCAATGGTCATCATAAAGGTGACAATGATGTAAACCAAAATCAGTCTCAGTATTAATTATTGTCAATTAACTGCTTGACAAATGTGCAATTAATGTAATAATATATCATCATCATCATAAACGGGGCTTTCCATTTTCCATGGTGGTCAATGGTTTGATCGCATTGAAACAGGATGATTCCAGTTGCATAACATGAATACAAAATTCACAAGTGTGTATTGTACTTTATGAATGCATGGACCGCAATTGTGTCTTTTTATATGGCTTGATGAGGGAACCATAACATCCACTCATAGATAAATTGCAGTCCAAGTTGGCCAGCAGACGTCATTGTAGATCAATATCCGTAAATTACTCAAACAAAGGCCAATAACAAGACCTTTTTGTTACTTCATACCATGCCTATGTCTTTCTGTTCTACTTGCCCATAATTAACAACAGTGAATTTCAAACGATTAGATCACTCAGATGCAATCTCTTATCGAGGGACACACAATGTCATTTAGTTGTCAATGAAGATTTTATCTACTTCCCTTCCTCTCCAAAACAAGTATAGATTTTCTTAAGAATTTCCATGGGAGAGTGAAGTGAAGGAGAAGAGAAGCTGCGCTGAGATCTGAATTTGGTCCCTGCAATGTCTCTCATCACAGTTTAATATAAGTGATGAAGACACTTGGTTAAAATACATACAAAATGCTCTCAGCTGTGAAAGGAACATCCCTTTGAAGAGTGACGAGCCAAACATTTACCGGTACTTACTGTACACTTTATCTCTCGCTAGAAATATTAACTCAACCCTGAACATATAAGACTAATGTACTGTAATCTCTTTCATAGCCACACAACCGGATATGACAAGTACACAATTACATTTTGTCTACAATAAAACAACACTGGACCTTTCAAAAGCAAAACTAAACATTGTAACAGTTTATAATGAGTAATACAGTACTTACAAATCATTAACAAACTATTAGTTTATAGTTAATTCATGGTTAATAAATTGCAGTCTCTACATTAATATATTAATAGGCTATATACTGTACACATAGTGAGTTCTTCATTCATTGTCGCTATAATTGACACAATTATTATTGAAGAAAGTCGCACGTCATTTGAAATTTACATTAGGGCAAGAAAATTATTAATTATTATTATTAAATCATTTTTGAGTGAGCTATCCCTTGGGAAAAAGAAGTGTGAACTTAAAATTTTAGTATATTTAATCAAAACTACAGATTATATTTCTGCATCTTTGTATCCCCGCCCATGGACAGTCGGATCAACAGAGGGTTATTAACAGAACAGTAATTCTAAGGGTAGGTTTGTCATTGAAAATTGTATTGTTCTAGGTCTAAACAGCATTTTGGTAAAAAATGGAACAATATGGCAACAGTTTTATTACTTTGTACGCAACAGCGTTTTGCTTTGTGAAGTTGGGCGTAACTGACAGAACGGTAGTTTCTTCCAGTTCCCCCCTCCGTTTGGCATAAACCACTATGTATGTGGTCATCCAATTTGAAATGTTGACTACAGTGTCTTTCCTTTTGCCAAATAGGTAGGAAAACTTTAACACCCATAATGCACTAGGCATGTTGCCGCCCAAGGCCACTCCCACCAGTCTGCTATGGATGTGCTTACCAGAGTCAAATACCGCCTTGCTTTAGTAGGAAGTACTTCTAAGCAAACTTGTAGTCACACAATGGTGTCATTGTGTCGATTTGTATTGTTCCTGGGTACAAGAATTCAAAGACTAAACGTTTAGCGTGAGTGAGTTACTTTCGCTTTCCAGTGAAGGATCCAGCATGTTGTAAGCAGTGGCTAAAGGCTTCATAGAATTTTAAATTGAAGAGAACACCGCAATGGCATTTAAACATATTCTTTATGTTATTTCTTTAAACGTTCATTATAAAGTATATTATTTTCGTAATAAGTATTCTTATTAAAAGTCCAAGTACTTTTCGAGGCCGCTGTATACTGTTTTAAAGTATTGCACCATGTGATGTACTGTATTGATTAAAAAAAAGGGCTATATATATATATACAGTATATATATCTCCTCTTACAGGCATTGGGACATTTTGCATCATTTAAGGTCAAAACTAATGCAAATGTTTGCATGTGAAAGGCCTCCTTGAGCAGTGCCTTCATACTGAGTACAGCTTCATTTCTTTTTATCTCCATCATGTGGGGGAGGACAGTCCTTGGCTCCATTATCTGTTAAAATACATGCTAAACACTAATATGTACAATAAGAGGGTACTAAGGCCCTGGATAGACAGATAATCTGTTATTGGAAGGTATCTTCGGCTATTTAGTGTGCTGCTTAAACTATGGGAGGTCTGGGAGTGCATTATATTGTGTCAATCTGACTGATCTGCTGGTGGAAAAGAAGGTAGATACGGATTAGACAAATCTGAATTAATCTGCTGAAAGCTCAAAAGCTTGAGATGTCTAGAGTTTTTTTTTTTTTTTTTTTGATGATGATGATGATTTATTCATTTTTAGGAGGTTTGCAGCACAAATAAAAGCGATAGACACTTGATGGACATCTGGGATTGACAAATTGGACTGACAGAACGACGGTAGCACAGAAAGGTTTTACTGATCTATACATAGACCACATGATTTGACCTCTACAGGTCATTTTGATGACAGTTGTTTGGAAGCGTTCACTGTCCTTGTTTACTGTGTCATGCCTGTGTCTACAGAACAGCTTCTTGGTTCAGTCACATTTGGGTGAATGGTGAAGATTTGTCAGTTCAGAAATGTCATGGAAAATAGATTAGTCATAAAGACAAGACGTTTTTAAGAAAACCCTGTCAAGGTAAGCATGCAATGTCAGATGTGCTCTTGCAGGCTAAGATTGGCCTTCAAAATATATGACAAAAAATCCATAACTAAAAACAAAGATTTCATTAATAACAGCATTCCACTCAAAGTCAGCCTGAATGCTTGTCATTCAGAATCTTCCTAAATTAGAAAGAATCTCTCGCATATTTTGAATGTTACGATTTGGCAGGAAACATTAGACACAAGTTTGTTTACAATCTGAAGGACTGTGGTTACACGCAGTTAGTTATAGAGAACAGTGGACAATTAATAAAAAAGAAAAAAAAAAAGAATGCACAACATGGTGTAATTTCAATGCAGGTAGATTATCTTTATATAAATTGAGATGCATTTATTAAAGGTTTCCATCCATTCTGAATTTTTGGATGTTGCATACAAATGGAGGAAGGAAACGCATGCAAAAAAAAATCCAGGTAAAAAACATACAGTATATTCATGCTTGAGGTGAAACTCAACTATGATTGAAAGCATTTCTATTTTGGGCCAATTTCTGTGAAAGTGGCCTTTTTTTTAACACAGCTGGAAATGCTGATTTTGTTTGTGAATGGATTTTTTCCCCAGGTTCAGTTTATGAAGTAAATACAGCATATAAATATCTTTTGAAATTATTGTATATACAGTATTAGAATGTGTTCTGGAAAGTTTTCATAAAGCTTCTTAGAAAATAAATAAATCCCAAACTTTATGAATACAAGTTAAGTTGTGTTTTGAAGTTGTTTTTTTAAAAAAAAGTTCACTCAGAAGGACACAAGAACAATCAAAACTTGTAATTCCTACAAAGGAAATGAGGAAATACCAGCGTGGAATGTGAGAATACTTATGAGATTACAGTTTGGATTAGTAAATGACACTTGATTCACATAAGGATCTTATTCAAAGCCCTGGAGCTAAGCTGTCTGTTGCTTAAGATTTTCCAGCTAAAAGCCCCTTCGAGATGGCATATAATGAGACTTTTAATGTCATTAGGGGATTGCTAAGGACAGACAATTACTTGCAGAAAGCATTTGAATGGAAGAGAGCATCGTGCTGCGGGCTGGGAGAGGATCCTCCTTAGCATGTCTTAGAGATGCTTACTGAAGAAGCCATTGTAATTAGTTCAAATGGTCACCAGAGAGAATTGGGGCTGAAGAGCTGCAACCCAAGGTCTTGAGTGAGAGAGAGAAGGTTAATAATTACAACAGAAGGCCCCTCCATGAACGTAAACAGTGCACTCTTTCGTAATAAGCTTGATCAAATGGTTATTATTTACATATTTGCAGTCTTCATCCTTTTTCCGTCTAAGAACCCCCAACCTGTACATAGGGGTAGCTCAGTGACCCAGAAACAATTATATTTGCTTTGTCACTGTTATTGATTTTACGTTCACTCATGCAAAACAGACTAATTAAGTAATTTAAGGTAAAAGAAGCATAACTTAATTTGGTAGACATGCAAAGATGTCAAGACACTGAATATAATTTGACCCTTTTCCAAGTAGTCTACAGTTCTACTGTAGGTTAGTTAGAGTATATTTTAATTCAAAATATACTTCCGAAATGCAAGTATGCATGTGCAGGGGCCACAATAATTTTTAAGGCACACATTGTGTAGCTTGAAATGTACTGTGCTTGTGATGTTTAAAAAAAAAATTTTTTTTATGACATTCATATATTTTTAAGAGTGGAATGGATGAAGTGTCCAAATACATTCTAGGGCCAAATACAAGTTTTTGTGTTAACACGGCTACGTTTACATGCACATGGATAAACATACAGACACGACCAAGCATTCATGAGTATTGGCTCTGTATGGTTTTACATGTCCTGGAGACTGAAACAACTTACTACAGTGATAGTGAGAAGGATCCCAGTCCAAGTTGAGTGCAGGAAACCTCCCTGTGGTGAAAGAAGGAACTTTATTTCATGCTCTTCATGAATTGTAATGCAAGGCAATGTTGGGAATGGAATACTTTACTTGCTGAATGCACTGTATATTTTTAATCCAATTTTCTATATCTGGCAGACCAAGGAAGATATGTTATAATTTTTTTGCTGGTATTCTGACTAAATGGTATATAAATTATACATAAATTGGAAATTTTTTATTATTGTAGATTTTTTTTTTTTTTTTTTACCAGTCTCCAATATTAAGTGGGCTCTTAAAAACTTGAAATTGACTTAAAATTGATCTCTGTGCTCTTGTGGTTCCATCAACCAATCAGCATTAAAGTGCTTTGACAGCCGCATAGCAACCACCAACAAGACCCTTTCAACTGTCTAGCAACCACCTAGGAACGCCTTAGCACCCTCGCAACTACCCAGATAAGTAAAACAGTCATACAGTAGTACACAATTCCCAATGTTTTTCTCAATAAATCTCACTTATTTTCTAAAATCAACAAAATGAATGATCAGCTTATGGCAGTCCTATTCCAGAGAGTAGGCCTGTACTCTTTTTCTGCATTCACAGTACTCTGTCTAGCGGATGGACGCATTTGGTGCATGCGCACTACTTTGTGGTCCTTTCGTGAATGTGCAGATCACACAAGTCCGCGCAGACACAAAAATCTGCCTGCACACGAATGGAATAAATGGACATTAGCGGACTATACTGATAACGAAAATGATTAAATGATTAAACATTTGTTTTGGATTGATCTATTTTTAGAGTTTACAATAAAAAAAAATGCTGTTTTGTAATAGACAATTTTGTGACTGGTAGGATTCAGTTTACGGCACTACTCATCCATTTCTATGGTATCTGCAAACAGTAACTGAATGTAGCTCTGACAGAAATGCAATAACCTTATAGCTGTAATGTGATTGGTTATCAAGTCACAGGTGATCCAAGTTGGCCGTTATGCTTTCTCCAATGGTAGAGCCGCGGATAATAATCCCAATAAGATTACCATACTTTCAGCTTTACAGTCTCAATCAGCTCCCTAGCTCAGTAGTCTGGGCACTGATCAAGGATTCTGCCATTTTAAGGGTTGTCTCAATTGCAAAATAGCCTACTTCCAGTGCACTGAAAGGTTCGCTCCCTAAGGCCTTGTCCACACGGACACGGGTATTTTTATAACCGGAGTTTTTCCTACAGCGTTTTAAAAAAAAATCCCGTCCACACATGCTCGGTCTCAGTCTACATGAAAACGCAAAAACACGCTATCAAGCGCAATCAAGAGCATGCCACGCCAGCAGGCGGTGATATAACCCTTAACCGTAAAGCCACGTTGGCCAATCAGAAGCACAAATCTGACGTCAAACACAGCGGATAACGGCGCACACTCTGATGTCGCAAGGCAAAACCCCCGGTTTCACTGTCTACACGACAACACTGTAACCAGCGTTTCTGAAAATCCTCACCCTGGCAGGGGTTTTCAAAAATGTTCGGTTTCAGTGCGTTTACGTGTGGACGAACGGCCGAACCGCGTAAAAAAAAGTCACGTGTCCGTGTGGACAGGGCCCAAAAAGTCCCACAATGCACTGTGAAAACCTGGAAGGAAAGTCTGAAGCATGAAACACAAATCACTTGAGCCACCATAAATAATGACACGCACACAATAGATGTTGAAAAAAAAAAAAAAAAAATTTAATTATACTCACTAAAAATTTCAACCCAAATTTGGGTCAAATATGGACAAACCCAACCGTTGGGTTAAATCTTTAATTAACATTTTAACCCAATGGTTGGGTTTGTCCATATTTGACCCAAATAAATGTAAAAATATATATTGCTAGACTGGTACTGAACATATAATTTATTGCAGATATAATTGTAATTTATAAAAAAAGTTATAGATATAACAATCAAAGTATTTATCAAAATGTACTCTTATAAAACATGAAAAAAATAAATGTCAGAAAAATATAATTTCTGCTGTTATTCAGAAATACCAATAGTGACATTGCAAGGATGTGTCCCAATGTGTAGTGAGCCAGGGTCCCTACTCTCTTTGCCATTGCTGAATTTGAGTACACAATACTTGGGATATAAGGAGCTGATTGCGACACACCCAGTTTAGTTCCAATTTTACTCTAACACACCTGCTTGTAATTTTCAAGTGAACCCAAAGATTTTTGACTAGTTCATTCAGGTGGTTGATTACAGCTGGAACAAAATTTAGCAGTTTGATTTCCAGGAGCCGGGACTGACACACCTTTCACATGATTTGTTCCATCAAATGCCTTGTCTTGGCTTGCCAACAGCATTACACTGCTTTACTGCCCCTATAAAAATGATTTACGGGGAAATTGAGATAATTAGAACCGAATTGAGGTGACAGAAGCTCTTACGGGGCATCTGGTTATTATGCTGGGAAAGAAATGAGTTTGTTAATTTGTAAAGGACAAGAGTAATTAAGGCGCTAGGACTGACGCAGTTACTTAACTGAAGTTAATGGGGGAGGGACCAAGTAAATGCAAAACCTCACGCCTCGCTCCTCTGCAGTGTAGATCAGAGATGATAGGGCATGACTGAGCATACGCTAAGTTGTTTTTGAACACTAAGGCATGGCTAAGAACGTGACCACTGCCCCTAGTCACTTTGAGAATGATCTTGGTATGACAAACTAAAGGCTGTTATTATGAGTCTCTGAAATACCTGATTCTGATTGGTCAGTCGTGGTCCCTTTTTTTTTCTTCTTCTATAATTACCCCTAACTGGATCTCTATGGTTTCATTTACACTGTTTACACAAAACACTTTTACTATAGTGCATGACTTTTAAACTGAAACATTTCAACTTTTCCATCACATAACCAGCTCCATATGGCAATTCTGATGTAGTAAACTTGCTTGTTAGCTCACCTGGTACAGTACAGCACTTGCAATGTGGAGTGCTTGGTTACGAGTCCCATCAAAGACAAATCACAATAAAACAGAAGTGAGCTAAAATGCTTCAGGAAATGCATTTTTATCTCATTTTCTTTTATTGGCCCTATCAGTTAGGTTTAGAATATGATTTAGTGTAGGTGGTACAGTTGTGGTCAGAATTAAT